CGCGCGTTTGGCAATTTTTATAGACATTTGGGAGGGGTGGGTTCTTTTGTCTTGGGCTCAACACCTTTTACGTCCACTTAAAACTACATGATGTTGCATGGATTTTACTGAAAAACGTTGATTAAGGCACCAACACATGAGTGGTGTTGGTTGGCTAGTGTTTAGGCTACCGGACTCGTAATCGTGAGATTGCTGGTTCGGGGTTTTTAGCCTCAGCTCGGTCCGACGTTGTGTCCTTAGGAAACGCACTTTGCATGAATTTCCCACTTGGCTCGGTCCTTTCGGAGATGGACGTTGAACTCGGAGGTCCCACCTCTTAAATAATCAAATAGTGTGTGTTGATAGGGGCGCTAGATCTAATCCCATACCATTTCACCATTTTCACAAACAAATGTAAATGTTCCTGTTCCAAGGACACTACAGCTGTGGAAGTTACCAAACTTTGACGACCATTTTCTCAACACTTTTACATCTGACGCTAGGCGACTCTCATCTCATTCAACCGTAAATATCTCGACTGACTTCTATTCAAGATAGATGGGTATTTCTTTCATAAAAAGAAAGGCGAATAAACATGCTTTATTGGCGCTCATGTGACCTTATGCAGTTGCCAGCGCCGGGAAAACTCTACTTAAACTAAAAACTAAACATACTTTGGAATGATTCGAATAAATCCATATGCCCAAAAATGGAGGATCGCCTCATTCTACCGCGTCGTGACACATAGTGTATGCTAATTGGGGACATATTAATATAAGGTCGAGATCGAATTATGGGTCGGGAGTCATCAGACTATTGTAACCTCCGAATGTAACATTCTGACAGAAATTTCGATGTCGAGTCACACTTTTCAGAACACAGGTCGACTGGTTCGACACTGGCAATGTCGTCTTGGCTGCCAACCCCATTAACGTTTAATTATTCTGCTCTATTCGGCTGGTTCTGGTCTACTCTAACCATCCCCCTCCCCCTCCCACTTTTCCACTCCCTCCACAACCCTACCCCGCCCATCCTGCGCACTTGCCCTCTGACAGTACCGTGTATGCTAATGAGGAGAGGGAGGGAGAGAGAGAGAGAGAGAGAGAGAGAGAGAGAGAGAGAGAGAGAGAGAGAGACAGAAGGACAGAGAGAGAGGTGGAGAAATAGAAAGAGAAAGGGAGATAGAAAAAGAGTGAATGTCTATGTTTTAGTAAGTGTTTTACAGCACTTGCAACACACTAAGGTCATATAAGTGCCAAAGATTAGAGAACATGTTACAAGAGAGTAACAAACACAACAATGAAAGAGGAGAGATACGGACGATAGATGTTTTACAGGAGAACTAGAACAGACCACACCACAGCACCAGCCAACTACCCGAGAGAGAGAGAGAGAGAGAGAGA